GACATTTCCTCTATATGTATATTGAAGAGTGTAACCGTTGAAAAAAAAACGAAAACAACCCTCTTTTGGTTCCCTTTGGAGTCCAAAACAACTGTGCAAAATTTGGGGACGAAAACCAACTTTTTTGCATTTTTATCCATAGAGACCACAATTTTGCTTGAACCATGCAACTAACCATGTACAAATATAGTCCAAAAATTACCTAACAACTTTGCAAAAAGAAGTACCGTGCTAGAATGTCTCTAAAAATGTTTGCAACTGTTCAAATATGTATGGTTTCGGTTTAAATTAAATGCCAAAAATCACTTTTTCTGCCAACACTGCCGGTGTACCAATGGGAGTCAGATTCCAAGCTGAAATAATTTCGGAGTTTCTTATCTTATCGATTTGGTATGTTCAGATGAATTATTCTCGGAATTATTCGAAAATTGGACAGTTGAAAATTTTTAAGTTTCAATATTAAGCCGAGTATTAAGCTTTAATTTGAATAATATTTCGGGATGAACCACCGTATCAAAGATGAATACTAAGATGAAACTGTTGGAAGAAAAACTTTCTATTTTAGTGTCCTCTTTCACGGTCCCTTTCATCCAATGAATACCCCCCGTATTCAAGGTAATTTTGTGGTTTTGCTGCCCCCTCGACAGAGATGAAATTTTGCGCTCATTTTTATCAAAACAAACACACCAAAATCAGAGGTGTCCCATTTTTTAATTACTCGATTAACATCTAATCGATTTTTTTTTGTTCGCTGTGCTGCCATATTTCCATCAATGAGAATGCAGCACATGTTTGAAACGATCAGTGATGATCCTCTGGAGAAGTTAATGCATATAGCGGCATGATATAACCGATTACAAATATTTTAATTTTCGGTTCGTTAATCGATTAATCGATAATTCGAATGAAAATCGGCCATCACTAGATTAATGTGAAACGTCATTTCAAATATATGAACCGTACATAAATAATGATACAATTTGAAAGGGACCGGGGCTCATCACAAATTACGTCCTCACGGTAACTGAAATAAACACGAGTGTTCACCGGTTGACCTATGGCTGAAAATCCCCTTAGAGCAACCGTAACGGTCGTTTTCATTTGCGCGACTATTTTAACAGCGCACAGCGGTCTCATTTTAGTTTAGTCACTCTTCTCCACACCGGTCGCTGTTATCGCGGTTATCAATTTACTCGCCGTAGTCCGTACCGGTAGTGAGCATTTTGACATTTATACGAATAGCAACCTTTCTCCCGCGCTGCTAAATTTGGTAACGCGCTTCTCACCGAGAAGCCGACTGCTATTTTAGTTTCTCGTATGGCAACCCCCAATACGGTAGTTGCGCTATGATGAGGGCTGCTAAAATGAGTTTAGCAGCGCACCGTTACGGTTGCTCTTAATAAAGACAACCAACCAACCAGCCTGCCATTGAGGTCACTCCCAATGAGCTGGATTACCGAGGTGAAGCAATCGGTTAAGTTGTGTGAGTAAAACCCCTGTACGATACAAGCAATTAGTGACGTCACTACTTGCGTTTACGTTGATTTTTTGGTTTACTGATACAACCATATTTCACGATCTGCTTCACCTCTCTCTGTACTCATTGGGTCACTCCCATACACGGTAACCGAAAAATACCCAGTTATGACTACAAAGTAAGCATTTTCGAGGGAAACTGGGACTACCCATTAAATGAGCAAAATTTTACCCATTTATGAGTAATTACAACTACAAAAATAAGTAGTAAGTATTCATTTTTGAGTAACAAGTACTCATAAATGGGTAATAAGTTTACTCATTTAATGGGTAGTCCCAGTCTCCCTCGAAAATGCTTACTTTGTAGTCATTATTGGGTATTTTGCGGTTACCGTGTATAGAAAACACAGAAGCAGTCCTCCGTCAAAAATCAAAAACAAGAGAAAACAAAAACATATCAGCAGGGTATAACTTGAAACGTAAACAATGACTTTGAACGTCGATTTCTCTTGAATGACTTCACACCCACGGAATCTGATTACACCAGCTCATAGAACAAACCTTTATCTATCAGACGATTTAGTTAGTTTGAGTGGGTGTGTTGTCATTCGTAAGAAACCGGCGATCTAAGTTATTGTTTACGTTTCGAGTTAGACCCGTCTGACATATCACCCATGAACTGTCTTCACGAGTTTCGTCTCAGACACAGGTATAGAGATTAGTGACTTTTAACGCACGCACACTAGCGGGGGCAACGCCGTGTAAAGTTGTTTATTATTTTCCTCTGGTTAACCTAAAAATTGTAAGAAATTAGATCTGCCAAAATGAGTTTGACAGCGATTTGTTATGTATTTTCCTCGGAATTTCACTAACACGCTCTCACATATCGCACCAATACAATCGGACATGAAAATCTCTATAGTCGGATTTCGCTCGTTGGACTATCTTTAAGTGGGCTACGTTTTAGTTAGCTCCCATTAGTTGGGCTGTAGCCCACCTAAATCAAAGTCAAACTTCATTTCTGCATGGGCCTGACACGCCGCCTTCTTTTCGTAGCCAGCATAAAAACGTGACCCTTGACGTGTTCACATATCAATCCAAGTGGGCACAGAGCGTGGGGCCGCACCTATGCTCGCTACGACTTCTTGTTATTAGTAGAGATAGGGGTGCCACTTCTGACAGTGCTGATTCCTGTTCGAAATTTCGACTGACTTCATGCGAAAACTAGCAATCGAGGGAGTAAAGGCCGGCGCACAATAGATACGTTTTCAGGTTTTTTGACAGGTAGCCCACGTCAAAAAACCCGAAAACGTATGCATTGTGCGCCGGCCTTAATGATACAGATTATTGCAATGTGATACAACGAGTTGCTTCCTTGATGGTTGTCAACGATGTGGCTGAACGTGTGTTTGAAACTAATTTCTGACTTTATCGAAAAAGCCACCCCAGTTCAACAGCAATATTTGCTTCAGGTGATCGAACATCGTCGAAAAGAGTACCCTGAAAAATCGTAGAATACATATTAAGGTGATTCCTTGTAGAGTCCACAAATGGCCGCCACGAGGGTAATACATGCACTTCCACTTCGAATTTTCAATTACACAAATCTCATAAATTAGTGCCTCATTGCACCTGAAATTGCTACTTTTATGTATGCTGCAGTGCAGCAAACGTTGAATACCAGTTTCATTGTTGTACGTGTTCTGGATGCTGATATTTGTGCACACAGCGAAACACTTTAAACTGAAATATTATCATTACAATCCAATGACATTTGTGTGAATTTGTCTGGCATTGGCATTGACGGCGACTCGGTAGTTCTTTACTCCTATGAGAAAATCCATAAGCAAACGTCAGACTTTGCGTGAAACATAGAGTTCTCTACCACCTTTAGTATTAGTGAGCAGTTTCACTAATACAAGAATTTTACTGGTTGAAAATAAAAAACAAACCGCTGTCAAGTCGAACACTTTGACAGCTGATTTCGTGGTTGAAAATAATAAACAAATCGATTTTACACGGCTACACTAGCAACGTTGTATTGGTGAAATCTTGCGGCAAGAAGTCAATGGCGGACTTTGTACTATCCTTTCACTCCACCGAAAGTTCCCATAAGAAACTGACGATATTCGCTGGAAGAGCAAATTTTTTGACGGTGCCGTCAACGCCAATTGTTTGCGCATTTTGCACCTTACTGGACTCCGTACTTTGAAAGTGCGGGGATGAAATAAGTGCGGGCCATGCGTATGACAGATAGAGTTGTCAAAGTGACAGCTCGCAACTGATTTTTGTTCGGAATCAAAACAACAATAAAGTGTCTGTTTTGGTTTTTGTTGTTGTTTTGATTTCAAGATCTTACACTCTCATTGCATTCTACTCGAAACACGTGTAAAAATAATTTTGCAAAATATTTGCAATTTTGCAAACAATTCTAAATTACTTATTTGTGAACAATTATATGGTTTTCCAAGTATGAATTAGATTGAACATGATTTTGAGACGTGTTTAAATTCTAATGGTACACCTTTTTTGTTTCCAAATGTGTTAAACTCAATAGCGTTCTAGGCGTGAAATAACCAAAAAGTTCGTTGTTTTTCGTCAGCGTACCATCAAAATGCGACTCAAAATATTCCCAAAAATCCAGTCACCACTGCAACAGACAATATATTACACCAAAAGATTACGGAACGGAACGAAAATGACACGTAAAAACCATTGATTTTCATATAAAATTGCGCTACTGGAAAATTCTATGAAACACACATTTTTTTAGGTGGTTAGGGGCTGTTCATTAACTACGTAGACAGTTTTTGGGATTCTTGACACCCCTTCCCCTGCATAGACAATTGCCGAACAAAATTTTTAAAATTGGTATGGGCCGTGGATAATTGCTACCCCCCCTAAATTGTCTACGTATGATGTTTTCTTCTCAATTTCACGGCAAAAAAAAACTTTTTTTGAGTTTTTAGTGATGCACGATGATAGATTACACTATTTACTATATGTCAAACTTATAAATTCATCCAGAAAATGGAAAGTCGTGAAATAGGATTAATTTTTAGGTCTTTAAAAATTCGCAAGCGATTTTCTCGATATGGTCATTTTGGAATTCCGCCCTTTTCAAATGCTAGTCTAGATTTGTGCACACAGCGAAACACTTTAAACTGAAATATAATCATTACAATCCAATGACATTTGTGTGAATTTGTCTGGCATTGTATATTACACCAAAAGTGTACGGAATGGAACGAAAATGACACGCAAAAACCATTGATTTTCATATAAAATTGCGCTACTGGAAAATTCTATGAAACACACTGTTCTCCGAAATATGTGTCTTAAATGATGGTCATTTGAACATCATTGACACATAACTTTCATTGCATTTTTCAAAGCGATATCTTCATTGGCGATTACGTGAAGTGACATCCAGGAAGTATCCTTGGACCCATCCTGCACACCTTGTCATTATTTGTACGAAATTATTCTATTGACCCTTCCCCTTGCGTTCTTCTCCTCAACAGCGTACCTCCTGGCGGACGAGGACCAAACTATCGTCCTCCCAGCATCAAAGCGTGCCACCATTACCCTATCCTCCCTCTCGAACATCCTCCCGCCGTTGAATGCCGAAGATCTCGATAGCTTTAAAACCAGCCTCTTCCAAAAATTGGACTTCCGGGAGTCGACCTTCTCCTGGCGATCCCTGCTGCCTTCGTTCAGCTTCTCCTTCGGCTCCGGCTCGGGAACAAACTACGAACACCTGAGGAGTGGTCTCCAGAAAACGCTGAGTAAGGAAGAGTACGAAGATCTGATGATTCACATCGATGCCTACATTGAGGGGTTGCTGACGAAGAAGTACCTACTGAAAGAGCAGGAAGAAACGAAAGCGAAACAGATGATAAGCCCAGAGGTGACAGTCCACGTGGCCAGTGTGGTTCGAGAAAATCTGCAGGCGTACAATTATAAACTGAATCAAGCCGACGTTGATGCGGTGGCCGCGAAGGTAAGGCTTCAGCTGCTGGCCAGCTATCCAAATGTGTTCAATCCTAAGGTGGCAACATCGGAGGACAGAGGCAAGCCCGATGTGCTTGGAATTTCCCAGGAAAACCTGTTCGAAATTCAAAAGTTGATTAAACAGGAGATCAGCATTACTAACAACAACTTTGTGATTAGCGATCAACAGTTGGAGGACATCTTGAAGCAGATTCTGTCCTCGAGTCAGCTTGTTGAGCTGATCGACGCAAGAGTGCTGCTTCAGATGAAAGAACCGAAGCAGCAGCATGAATCGCAGGCTGCGTTGGTTGAAAATTTGAAAAACGAACTCATCGAGATCAAGTTGCATTTCACGGAAAAACTTGCCACCAGTAGTTTGATGATAGAGGACAACATAAATCTGCTGAAACAAGATCAGAGCAGATTGGCCGAGCAGGTCAATAGCTATCGGATAGAGAACGACGTAAAGTACGTCAAACTGATGGCCGACATTGATGCCCGGTTGGCTGCAGTCAAGCAGGAGCAGTTTGCAGGGCTCAATAAGATCATCAAGAAGAATATCGTTACCATTTTGGGAATGAACGTGAAGGAAGACTTCTCCGATGCGGATCTCAAAGCATGGATAAGTAATCTGTTCGTGGCAAAGGATTACCTGGAGAGTCGATTGAAGGAGCACCAGGAAGGGGTGAGTGCCTTGATTCAGCAGGAAATGGAACGATCGGCTGCGACTTTGATGAGGGAAGTAAGCGAGAAAATCCAGAAGGAGATCCTTGTGGCAATTCAGACGCAGAAGAGCGAGGCACTCAACATTGATGCTGCGGCGGGAAGGACACCATCGGAAGGTGACGGTCGGAGCGGGGGTCTTACGGAGGGCGATGTTCGGAGGATCGTACGGGATGCCCTACGCATCTACGATGCGGACAAAACGGGCCTGGTTGATTATGCGCTGGAATCGGCCGGGGGACAGATCTTGTCCACGAGGTGTACGGAGAACTACCAGACGCATTCGGCGCAGATTTCCATCTTCGGGATTCCGCTGTGGTATCCGACCAACACGCCGAGGACGGTCATATCGCCGACCATGCAGCCCGGGCAGTGCTGGGCGTTTTCCGGCTTCCCGGGATATCTGGGTAAGTTGGATTGCTTTTTTTTTTTTGTAGGATTATTCGTAGGTGATCGAGCATAGACTTAGATTTAAGACTGGTAAAAGGTTAGGTTACTCGTTCATTGGATGCTTATGTAATTTTATGTTGGGGTTAAGACAAAAATCTTGGGATGAGCATTTTAGACGTGTCATGCGGAATGTGACTGAAATTCAGTCAGAATTAATAGTTGGAATGTTAAGTGTTTAGGGAACAACTTCCAAACGTCAAATGTATGAGATGTTGGAGCAATATAAGGGGCTGTTCATAAACTGCTACTCAGTTAACAAATTATAATTTTGATTCCCGATTCCCGGGAAATTTGAAAACCCTAGTCTAGAGGTAGTATTTGGTTTGTAATATTTATCTAGCGTAACGTATATTGACAGCAGTTAGCAAGTGAGCATCTAATTATAACAGTAAAAGTATCTCCACCTAAGCTTACCGACAGCTTCACACGTCGTTTTGGTTGTTTTCCATACATTCACTGTTTCAATAGTCCTTACCGCTACCAGTTAATGAAGGGTTCCCTGTATTTTTAAAATATTTAGTTTGATAGTAACGAAACTTTTTTAACAAAAAATGTTAACGTATAGGGGACAAATGTCGTGACATTTTTTCTCCATATAATTTCTATAACATTTACCACCTCTGATCGTGGCATTGAATAGATAATGCTAGCGTAGATAATTAACTAGGTAGATAGAAAGCTAATCAAATAACTTAACATTCCACGACGTGCCATTCCTTTGTAATCTTTACGTTATTTTCAATTGTTGTAAAGTTGTAATTTAAATTGAATAATCTTTCAATTCAAAATTTGCAGGAACAAGCATAACGTCATTTCTATAAATAAAGCTAACATTTCATAATTCATCATCCCATCGCTTATTCCCATTGCCCATTGTTCAAAATGATCGAAAACCAGTAATATTGTAATGCTTTCCAATTTTCTTCTTTTCCCCTTTTTTTCTCTCTCTCTTTTTCTTGTTATCTTCCAGTCATCCAGCTGAATAGCGACATCGTCGTGACCGGCTTCTCGCTGGAGCATATCTCTAAACTGCTTGCACCAAATGGACAAATTGATTCCGCCCCGAAGAATTTCTCCGTTTGGGTAGGTTCCACTCCATATGTGTAATGCTCAAGGGGAGCGTGCATGACCAGTCCAGTCCCACACAGACCAAATCGAGCGTAGTTACAAAGTAGTAGTTGTTCACACGTATTTGCATGTCGCTACGATAACAGTAATTACAACCGGCAGATTCCGTATCATAGAGAGTTACTGCTGCATGAACGTCCATCATTGATGCACACTTTTTTATCCTTTATCGCCATCCATCAGCTAGAAACGAATACTTTATGCACTGAATACTAATGCTTCCATCCCATTTGCTTTTGTTTTTCTTCCCCTCGGAACTTTTTCCTCTCGTCATTTAGGGCCTCGCAAGCGAAAACGACCAGGCACCGATCCTGCTGGGTAACTATCAGTATCTGGACAATGGGGCCGCGTTGCAGTACTTCCCGGTGGATGATCCGACCCGGCCGGAACTGGTGGGACGGGCCTTCCGCATCGTGGAGCTGCGGATCGAAACCAATCATGGCAACGGGCACTACACGTGCCTGTACCGATTCCGGGTACATGGCGAGAGGAATTGAAGGTGGACAAACGGTTGCGTCTGCTGTAAATAGGTGATTTTAATTTTGTTTAGTGTTAGGTTCAGTTTAGATTTTAGAACTGCATTGGAACCATAAGCATGTGGTGCAATAATTTTACCATGAACGTTAAGTGAAGGCAGGAACCAAATCTAGCTACTTAAGAATATAGTTAGTTAGTTTGTTAGGGAACTGCTTTCGGCTCATCGTCACGAGCTTCGTCGCATTGACGAAGCGATGTTGGACGGTTTTTCCTTTTTTGTTTTGTTTTACTAATTGGCACCTTTCGCTTCATATACTAACTACTAAAACCTAACTCATCGTTTAGATTTTCTTTAGTTTGCTTGAACGGAACAGTGTGCCCTAAGGGCAGTGAGGGAAATATACTGTGGTTGTGATTGTTGAATAATCGTTGACGAAACAGATGTTTAGGAGTTTTGCAATCGTTGCTTTTCGCAATGGGGATCACATGGAATGCAAAATTACTACGACGGTGACCATATTAATAAGGTGAGCTTAGTTCAAACGCAGCAATACCAATAATACCATAATCAAAAGAAGGAGCCTGTCGGAGTAATATGCGGATAACTGACGCTTCTCTAGTGCAGTTGAAAATATTTTGCAATGTCGCATCAAAAACGATCTAGCAGAAATCGAGGTAACTGGTGACTGGTGACCACCGCTAATGACACCAGCAGAGAAATTCAAAGACGCATTGCGCAGACCATGTTAACCTTGGGCTCCGGAGAACGCTCCGGTCGAATTAAGTTCACCGCAGCACGAAGTTGACTATCTACAACACGCTGATTAGACAGATAGTCCTGTATCGCCACGAACCCTGGACTATGCTCGTGGAGGATCACGAAAGGTGTTGCGTAACATCTACGGTGAACTGCAGATGAAAAACGGAATGTGGAGAAGGCGAATGAACCGCACCACCCAACGTCCACACCGGAAAAATTGTGTGACTACGGTGGGTAGGGCGGAGAATGTCGGACGACAGCCCAGTGAAAATGGTTCTCGATAATGACTGAATCAAGACGAAAAGGCGCGCACCTGGCATGGTGGATCGACTTGGTGGAAGGCAACATGCGGAGAATTCCCAGACATCGTAGCTGGTGACGTGCAGATATACATCGAGTGGAATTAATATGACTTGTATGTACAGCAAAGGGAACTCCAGACCTCCCCGCATAAACGCTAACCATAACTTGACCTTACCGATAATGGTTAAAAATTGTTTATAATCGCTGCTAAACTTTAACTGAAATGGTTATGGAACTTTACATGAACATTTGTGTGATAAAGTTTTAACCTTATGTAAGGCATGTACTCGAAAAAAAAATGCACCAGACAAAAGTGTTCGCCAAAAAATATTTTAAGTCGGATTTTCTTGAAACTTTCAGGGAATGAACTAATACATATGGATTATGTTTCGGCATAATTTGTTTATTCAATTTCCTTTCCATCGCTGAAAGCCCACACCTTTCCCTTAAGACCCCTCATTACATTTTGTGCAATGGTGGAGCCGACCTTTTTGGTCACTTTCATCCATTCTTTCTTCCAGCTCGTTCTCAAACAACTTGGAACACCTTCGAACTTTGGCCTTCATTATGGCCCAAAATCTTTCCACCGGACGAATCTCTGGTGAATTTGGGGGAGTTGGCGGTTTTTGGTACAAAAACAACATAGTTGAAGATGCTAATTTCAAATAACAGACTGTAGTGGTAATTTTTTATACGATAGATGGAGTAGATGAAAGAATAGAGTTGATAGTTCCGTTAGAGTACGGCAGTGTGAAGATTGCATATAGATATTAGAATAGAGAGCTTAGGACAACTTTTAAGGAAGGTACAAATCGGTTTTTTCATCTCTCTTTACCAAACTCCCCCTTTGGAGAGGGATGGTGAGGGGTGTCCCCCCCCCCCACCACCACTGGCAAAAAGAGATGAAGACCGACCCGCTCAAGTACCAACTGTGTGTTTGAAACAGTTCTACCGATTTTTTACCGCACTTCAATTGTTATTCGAAGGAAGGCATCCAGTCGTAGGTTTGGAAATTGCAACTATTGTTTACCCCTACCACGATATGTGCTCCTGTCATCGTCGACTTGACGATCTCGAGGGGACACGGGTGGGGTAGGTGCTGCTACTGTACCTTTCGACCATTGACAGTAATTGATGGTATGCTCCCATCCTACCCCACCCGTGTCCCCTCGAGATCGTCAAGTCGACGGTGACAGGAGCACATATCGTGGTAGGGGTAAACAATAGTTGCAATTTCCAAACCTACGACTGGATGCCTTCCTTCGAATAACAATTGAAGTGCGGTAAAAAATCGGTAGAACTGTTTCAAACACACAGTTGGTACTTGAGCGGGTCGGTCTTCATCTCTTTTTGCCAGTGGTGGTGGGGGGGGGGGACACCCCTCACCATCCCTCTCCAAAGGGGGAGTTTGGTAAAGAGAGATGAAAAAACCGATTTGTACCTTCCTTAAAAGTTGTCCTAAGCTCTCTATTCTAATATCTATATGCAATCTTCACACTGCCGTACTTTAACGGAACTATCAACTCTATGCTTTCATCTACTCCATCTATCGTATAAAAAATTACCACTACAGTCTGTTATTTGAAATTAGCATCTTCAACTATGTAAATCGTTGACTTCACGTAGAAGTAATACTAAAAACATATAGTCAAAGTACAAAAACAACGTTATTGTCTCTGTACCAATCCAACGTCGATCGCGCGTAATGGCATGATGCCAGGTCCGGCCAAAATAATGTCTCGCCTCCGTGGGACCGCGGCAACAGACGCTTCTGGAGGCACTCGGTGCGGTAAATTTCGCTGTTGATGGTACCCATTGTGATGTACGGTTTACTCAGTTTACCGCATTGGCATATGGCCTGCCAGAGCAAGTATTTTTTGGCGAATTTATCCACTTTCTTCTTCCTTATGTCTTCCGGAACATCAAACCGTGATTTGGCAACGTAGAACTCCAGCCCCGGTATCTGATTTGCGTCTGCCTTGATGTAGGTTTCGTCGTCCATAACCACACACATCGTTAACCGTTCGGTGCCTTCCGGACCTTGAATACACGAAGCCCAGCTCGTTTCATGGTTTGCTGAACGAACCAGGCGGAATACTTTGCCTTCAGAGCCGCGTCGCGAATCGAAAGGCTCGGATTACGCTTGAAATAATCCAACACCTTCAGGCCTTCACAGGGTCAGCTATCTTCGATTTTCTTCCACTTCCAGCCCGCCGCTCGGTCGTCTGGGACTCCTTACGCGATTTTACCACCCGGGACACAGTTGTATGGGAGATTCCCAGTTGTCTTCCGATCCATCTCATGGTCGCAGTCGGATTTTCCATGACGGCGCGCAAAATTCTCCGGCGATTTTCTTCTTGTTTCGATGGCATCTCAATAACCACTGAACCGATTGTTATGAAATTTTGCACATGTAAACAATTCACTCTAAACTAGTTATACCCAGATTTTCATCAATTTTTACCCACGGATAAAAAAGTTACACACGGATAAAAATGGTGCATTTTTTTTCGAGTACAAGCCTCACTATGATTTTTTGGAAGTGAACCTTACCATTCCAAATTCTTGTTTTTTTCCATACATTCTCGGAAAGAGTGCTATATTAGAACCTTTTAACTTAAGGTTAAAGAACTTTAATGATAATGGTTATGGCAGTCAGTAAGGTCCATGAACGGTTTTGTACTATCGGTTAACTTTAGGTGGAATATATCGCGAACAGGCAATCAATTCGCGATACATTCAATATAAAGTTGATCGATATTACAAAACCATTCATGGATCTTACTGACTACCATAACCATTACCATTGAAGTTATCAAATCATAAATGAAAAGTTTTTAATATAATTCCTTTTATCATCAATAATCGAAAATGTATGAAGAGAACAAGGTTTTGAAATGGTTATGATTCTTAACTATCCATTATTTTGTAAGATCCACATCCAAAAAACCATAATACATAAGGTTAAAACTTTACCATAAAACGTTCATGTAAAGTTCCATAACGATTTCAGTTAAAGTTTAGCAGGGATTATAAAGAATTTTTCACCATTTTCGGTAATGTCAAGTTATGGTTAGCGTTTATGCGGGTTAGCTTTGGTGACGTATCTGAGCAAAGCTGGAGTTCGAATTGAAATCAAAATTTGCTGTTATGATGCAACTTATTGTGAATAGTCTAGTTGATATTAGTTTTGGTTGACTTAACGGTTAGCACAGCAAAAATGGGAGCAATATTTTACACCGTTGAAGCTAACGGAAAACTAATCCTGCTTTCAATGAAATCAATTTGATTACTGATTGTGCATTAAACTGATGCAAAATTTGAAATTTTCGCTCCACAGTGCTCAAACGGTTCCAAATTTGGCCCTGATTAGCCTCCCAAAATTTGAACTCATGTTTTCCCATATAAACTTCAAATGGTTTGTGCCAAGTCAGATTCTTATCAAATGAGTTTAAACTTTCGATTTGAAACCGTTTGAACACCGTGGTATGAAAATTTCAAATTTCGCATCAGTCTATTGTGCATTCATAATATTTAACTGAATACCGGCCTGGTGGTGTCGTCGTCTTGGGATAAGTCAAAGTCTTGGGATAAGTCATTCCAATCAAGCAGAAAACCTGTCAATAAATTAGATGACGCCCCTTTGCCCAATTCAGCATCTTGAGAAGAAAACTTCTTGCAGTTCGCTGTTCGTGGTGGTCCCTTTTTGATTGCGCTGACTGTTGTCCAAAGCTTGGTGATTGACGTTCAAATTTTCCCAGCGTAGAGTCAGCTTGATGATGCCGTTTCGTAGGACTGTTGACTACCCCCGGCCGCAATGTTGACATACAAACATAATGTGTAGTACTAGAATTTCGACCAGAATGGGGTACGTTAACCGATTTGCTTGGGACCAATAGGCTAGTCAGTAGTGAGCCAATTTAAAATCGTTAGTTTCCACCGGTTGATATATCGTTGTCGTTGTCCTTTGTGTGAGATCCGGTAATTAGGTGAAATGGTTCATTCCGGGATCTACCATTTTTTTTTGATTCTGAGAATAGTCTTGCAGTATCATTTTTTTATATTGTCTTATTTTTGTTCTCACATCCAAATCATCCTGCATTCATAATAGATTCGTTATCGTAACTACTTCATTACACGTGACCTCAAAAATATCTATCCATTTGTAATAATGTATGAACAGCTCTCTTCGTCGTATTCTCGATCACTGCACTAACATTCTTGCCATACTACTTAGCCTATAACACCTGCCTACTCTAGATAAGTATGTTGAAAGCAGTTCAATTTTACACTAGTATAATAATTTCTTAATTACTAAGTTCCATCAACCGTGAGATGTCCTGTCCGTGCCTAGTTCTTATGTCGATTGAAGTGAAGCTTTTATCCTTAATTTATCACACCAGCTATGTTGGTGTGAAAGCATCCGGCAGCGTCCGTTGAATGTACCAGTTATTAATGCGCGAATTATTAAACTAACTTATCTTTAACTTTTGCGTTGAAAGTGTTATCACAGTCTTACCATTTTAAGCTCCAAAGTCACTTAAATAATTTACCTTAAATGATGTCCGTTTGTGTTAGTGTGTAATTATTTTATCGACAATAACCAGCCCAGCATTTCCGAGGCGAGATTGTGTTCGTTGATTATTAACTTTTAATCGGATGTAAGTTATTTTTACGTGTATCAGTGTAAAATGTAGTACAAATTTGTTGTATATTTTCTCATCCTTGTTTACATGTTTGCAAAAATTCCATTAAAATTGTAACAAAATTTGTGCTTATTTTCACAGTGTTTAATATAATTGTTTAATCAAATGTGGCAATTTACTATATATTGTATGGACTTGTCGAGCGTCCTTTCGATATCACTTTATAATAAAACATGTTCACTATTTTTTTGTCGTTTGCGTTCACTGCAACAGTGAATTGAGTACTAAAAATAAAAAAAAAATAACAAAAAAACTGACAGGAATCCATTGTTTCCAAAAGATCCGAAATCCATGGGCCATAGGCAAAATCTAGTAGCTTTCAGGAGTTTGCCATTTGACGAAGTTTGTTGAGCTAGTTTTCGTGCTTTGCTCAAGTGAATTTAGATCATAGATTCATAGACAGGTCTCAAGGTTTACAAAAAATAATCAAGATCCAGAGATTTCATGTTTAGACAATTTTATAGTCCTGAATTAAGAAAAAAATCTTTAAGTCTCAGGAAGTTTTATTTTAAAATATTCCGGACACGGAGAAATTTTCCAGAATTCGGAACATATGAAATGTTCAATTTCCTAAGCTCAAAAAAGTATTCGTAATGC